TCTTTTTATATTAACTTATAATAATAAATAAAATACTTATTTAAATACTAAGAAATATCTTTAAAAATTAAGAATATATTTATTATTAAAAAGTTTTTAATTAATAATAATTAACTCAAGTAAATATTAATTAAAAATAAAATAAATAATAATAAAATATTAATAAATATTATATATTTAATTAATAATTAATCTTATAAAATTATAATAAATAATAATATTATAAATAATATAATAACTTAATAATTTTTAAAGAAAAAATTTAAAATTTTAATATTATAAATTTAATTATAATTATAAAAATTCAAAATATTAATAATTATAAATGATAATATGATCTCAGTTTTGATAATAATTAGATTTAAATTTATAAAATAATATTAAACTAAATAAAAATTATTATAATTTAAAAAAATAAATTAAAATTTCTATTACTTAAAAAAATATAATAAATTTATAATAAAAAATAATTTATTTAATATTAATAAAGAATTAAAATTAAAATTAAAATTTTTAATAATAATAAAGAAAAATTATTTAAATATTATCATAAATAAATATTAAATTTAACTTAAGATATTCTGATTTAAAATATTTTACATTTTACTATTTGAAATTATTATAATAAATTTATATATCAGTTTATTAACTTGCTTTTAAATTTTTTTTATCTTATAAAAATATAAAAATAAAAGCTAAAATTATAAAAATTAAATATACTAAAAATATTAAAATAATAATTCTAATAAATTATATATAATAAAAAAATAATTTAGATAATTTTCTTAATTTTAATTAAATTTCAAAAATAAAACTAATTTTAACTTATAAAAACTTGATAAATCTGAAAGAAACTAATAAGATTTTAGTTTTATTATTAAAGCAAATTCTTCTAAAAATTTAATATAAATAATTAGTAGTTTTAGATTATTATATAGAATTTAATTATATATAAAATTTTATGAATTTTTATTTTAAAATATATTTCAAACATTAAAAATCAATATTAAAAAATCTAATATTTTCAAGAGATTAAAAATTTAAGAATATAATATTTTAATATTATTTTTTCTATTAATTTAAGAACATAAAATTTGAATTTATATTTTTAATTGAATAATACTTTAAAGACCTTTTTTATTACAAAATCAAGCTTTGTAACTTTAATAAGTAGTTTATATATATATATATATATATTTATTAGCTAAAGCTATTTATATTACTTAAATTTAGCAAATTGATTAAGTTTATAAAATTTGCCTTGCTATATTGTTATGAACATTAAAATTTTTGATAACTTAAAATTACAAACCAGTATTCTCAGAAAACATTTTTCTTATTTAAAGAAAATACATCATGCATTCATTTATTAAGAATATGATATTTATTTGAAGACATCTAGGAATAATTATTTTAATTGCTTTTAGCTTAAAAAATTTATTTTTTATCTTATAAAATTCAAAATACATATCTTTTTATTTACAGATGCCATCGATATAAATAATTTAAAACGTATCGGGGTTTGAATCACGTGGCCAAAATAAGATGTGCATATTTACCGTCATGTCATGAATACATATACATGTAGTTGATTGCATTTTTCCTGAATAAATACAACGTCGTATGTCTAAAAATCAGCCGAATTCTTCCATCTCGGACTCTTCTTCTTCGAGAACATCCAGAAGAATTCAGCACTCAGAAAATGGAAATCCTGTCTATCCTGTAAGAAACACAATAATAAATCATATTATCTCGATATTACTAATTTATTTTTTACGTATAATAGATTGGTGAGATTGAATACAACATGTTAATCCTTCAAGTAAAAAACAACGCTCCTCGAACACCAGACGTATTGGTTTTTCAATTACTTAAAAATTTCAATCGATGCCGGACCCAAAATTATGTAAATTTTGATTTTAAGTTCATTTATCAAAGTTTTCCGTGCTAAAGATGCTTTCAAATAGATCCAAGAACAATTACCGGTCTGCCATCCA